GCAGACAGAGGGAGGCAACTGAAGGAAGGCTTAATATTCAAAACGTCCACATCTACAATCTAAATGAATCACCCAGCGAGAGCTTGTTAAATCTCACAGTGTGCTCCCCACCACTTCAAGTTTGACGAGAACTGTTCATCATCTCCTACAGCCAAAAAAAACATTCCAGCGCTGATCCTAAATTAAAAAATAATAATTTCCTCATCCTGCTGCCACCACGGCACGTTTACTCCCACACAGCACGGAACCCTCTACCAGCTTGAATACAGTCGACAGGTTGCAGACTGGCTCAGTGTTTTGCTCTCATCAACAAGGAACACCATAACACGCTGAAATGCTTACGTACACTGAAAACAGGGAGAATTAATTCAATAAATGAAACAGGAGAATTATTTTGTAATCAGAGCAAAAGAAACATACAGCCAAAGGAAGGATTGTAAAAATAATCCACCATGTTCCTCTTTCTATTACAACATCAAGATCAGATCACAGCACAAGAGAAAAGATAACAAGGGGCGAGAAGGGCACAAAACTAAACTCCTATTAAAGGTCTCAAGGGCACATTCCTTTGCTTTGTGTTGGAGTACAATCACCCAGACAGAGCGAGAGGAAGGGAAAAAGAAAGGAAACATGTAGCGAAATACGACTACACCATTCCCAGTTATAAAGCAGATTCATAAATGGATGTATATATTCTGTATATAATACGGTTTTGTTCAAGATTTTTCGATGAAAAGCGCATGCCTGCTGGTCCAAACTCTAGAGTATACAAAAAACTGTCCACCCACCAAATATGAACACATTGTGTCTTTCTTTGTTTGAACCAAAAAAACAAGCTAATGTGTAAAAATGCGTCTTTAAAAACGTTTTGGAATCAAGCTCTGATTGCAAGGCGACTGCGCTTGCTGAACTTCACACCATGCCAGCAGGAGGAGGATAACAGCAAAACCTCCTGTTAATATAACACAAAAAAAACAGATAGAGATTTAACCTTGAGTGAAATTTAACAGCAAATCGTGTTGGATAGATTCTTTGGAAGCTTGCACAGAGCCAGACTGGTGCTTCCCTTTTTTTCCAGTTTATATGTAAGCTAAGCTAACTGTCTCTTGGTTCTAAGAATTCAACATGAATGCATAAAGTACCACAAAGGCTAACCATTCGAACTTTCATCTAACTCGCAAAGAAGGTTAACAAACTATACTAACACTATTCTCAGCTTGTATTGTGCTCCATTTCCCCACAAGTCAACTCAATGTGACAAATACGTGTGCATTTTGTGTGTACCGGATACGTCTTTCCTTCTGAGTGTTTTTGTGTTCACTACACTCTGTGGATGTAAATGTTAAATGATCTGACCTGCGGGACGGCAGCGGGATCCTCATGAGGGTTCTTGTACGTCTGCAGCCCCTCTTTTTGGTGCAGCCTCCATGACGAATGTGTTCTCCTTCCTCTTAACCACTCCAGGTAAACTCACCATGCTCCAGCTCGATCTTAACACTGGCGGCAGGCGACTACATACACACACACACAACCATTGGGGCGGGACACCATGAGTTTAATAACATCAGTGCAATTATAGGATGTGGCATTGTCCTTTGGAAAAATGCTATTTAGAAGCAAAAATACTTGTAGAGTTGGCAGCATCTTTTCGATTGGTAACTATTTGAAACAACATCTAAGACGATGCATCGCTTTCATCTTTGCACATTGACAATTAAACCTAATTCAACACATAAAAAGACTTGTTTACTAAAGCTTGTTTATAGCTCATTATAGGTCCCATGTCACGGCCCATTTCTACTGATCATAATTCCATTGTTGAGGTCTACTAGAATAGATTTATATTGTGCAATTTTCCAAACTCACATTGAGTCTCTCATACAGCATCTCTTATAAGTACTGTGTATTCACTCTCTGTCTAAACGCTTGTTGGAGCTCCTGATGGAGCTCCTGCCCCCCCCTCCCTATGAGCCCTGCTCTGATTGGTCAGCTCGCCCACTCTGTTCTGATGAGTCCACCACCTTTACAGCGGAACATCAGTGATTATGTGTTACAATGGCATTTGATAGCAACTAGAAAATGACACCAGTAATGACAAACAGATGAGAATGTTGCGTGGGGTCTGGGTGCCGTGTTGGCGGGACGTTGCGGGACGACAGTGTGAGCTGGCTTGCTGGTGTGGTTTCCTGGTTGCTGCGGGACGGTGGGACGACGGGACACGGCGAGGCCCGAGCTCGAGCTCGACCGGAGCACACGCACACACACACACACCCGCAGCCTGTCCATTTGGGGTCGTCGTTACGTCACTTGGTTCCCGTAAGAAAAAATGGAAAAAGAAAAATCTCCAAAGGGGACGGGTAATAACCGGAAAAGCATGACATGGGACCTTTAAACAACTTACAGCACTTTCAATGGTTTGGCTTATTTTATGCACATTTTTCTTGCTGTTTTGAATTTGTATCTATGATTTATTGGAGTTATTGTAAGTCCCTTTAGATAAAAGCGTCAGCTAAATGTAATCTAATGTAATCAAGAGCATCTTAAGACTAAACATCTGATACCTATATTTTCCAACATAAAGTATTTTAGAACGTAAAAGAAAAGACAGTAATGTTTGAATCTCTGCTAAATGTTGCCATACAGACTGTGTGCAGTACCTTGTTGACACTCCTCTGGTGCGACAGGTTGAAGCGGTCCTGTGCGGCGGTGAATCTCTCCACCTCCAGTATCCGGGCGGTGATGGGCACAGTGGGAAGGTAGACCTTGGCGTTGGCCTCCTTGAAGCCCACTGTGGCATACACCGCTGAAAATGGGATACGACAGTCCCCTAGGAGGAGGAGAGAGGAGGGTGGTTAGCGTGTTTTTTTTTTTTTTCGTGTTCCCGCATGTAGGAGTTGTTCAGGCGGCTTTGGAGCGAGTAGGCTGCATTACTGAAAACTCGGCTTTTGTTCAAGATTTTTACTTTGCAGTGTTGGGTCAAATGTTTCTGCTTCTCTCTGGTAAAGTTTGTACGGTCTAAATTATGTAAAGGATAAATCCACTCTCAATGCGAGTGCACTTTCCTTCAGTTGGCTTGTCTTCCTCTCAGTTTTCTTACATTTCCCTGGGTACATCCCTATTAGTCAAGTCACACACTTATTGTTTTGGCGCATATGGTCATATAAATATAGCTCATGCAAAATTAATCTGGTTAATAGTCTGCCAAATTCAATTTCCTGGAAGTGAATCTCTGGAGAATAATGAATCATCTCAAAATCTGAGCTGTTTTACTAAGAAAACTGAGTCTTTATTATTGCTATATTTCCGTATGTATCATCTTAGTTTTCTGAGAATCACACAGACAGAACATTACGTAAACACAAACACACCCAAGTAGCCTCCATCATACTCGATCTCCTCTCCCTCCCCCATGTCCAGCTCTCTGGTGTCCAGGCTCTCCACCAGTTCGGCCATGGTGATTCCGTCGTGAGCGTCGGGGTCCGATGTGGCGTCAGACACCTCAGAGGTGACCAGGTTTAGGCTACTGGTTGTAGGCGGAGCTTTTCCCAGCATGCTCAGCAGTTAAGCCCCAGAGCAGGGCGAGCCTAGAGGAGATACACAATCAAATTAAAACATTGTATACTGTGGGATAAATTAAACATCCTTGTGGGTGTTCTTGTCTAAATGACTGTTTCCTGAGAGTTCATACACTCCCACAGCATGACCGTCATTTGACTTTTAACCTTCCACCATTTACTGAACATGACCGGTTACACAAGACCCTTGTGTGCTGTTATGATAATCCCATATGGATCACAAGAATGCACAAACTTAGGCACATACTGTAGACCCATCTGAAACACTCTTCAAGGTCACATGTGGCCATAACACCAGACACAGCGCCACCAGGAAGAAAACAGTTCAGAGCTAAAAGTCAGATCACAGAAATTAGCTGTGTTTGTCATCATTATTATAAACAGTTTTGAGACTACCCTTCTTGGAAGCATCTGCATTTGTTACATTTCTAAGCCTGCATCTTCTTACTTTGTTCTTATAGCCACGGTCATCTGTGTTTACCATTATCCCTGAAGTCTGGTCTAAAATACCAAGAGGCGTGTGATGAATTCAATCTCTGCACTTCATGCATCCTTGAGAACTGAACGCTTTTCTCTGCAAGGCTTTCAAATCGTCTCGCAACATATGCTGAATGTCAATATCATTCACCTTTGCCCCTCCTAAAGAAAATTGCCTTTTGACAATCTAATATCTAAGTATTCTGTGAGTAGTAATAATTAAATTAGCAGTTTTTTGAAAAGATGAAAACGATCATTGTTCAGCACTGCCACATGCATACGTTTTGTTAGCTCTGATAGCACATAGCGCCTGGGTGCAGCACTTGCAAAAAATGTTGTTTTGAGAATTATTTCTGGGGTGTGCGGTGACCAGTATGTTGAAGGTCAGAGGGGAAAAAAGCATTGCTGTAAATAATTGATTTTTGCTGTAAATAATTGATTTTTCTCAAAATGTTGCAGCCAGGTTGAACAACTGACATTGAGCTCTTCTCCCCATGAGACAGAGATGCGTCAATCACTTCAGTTTGTTAATAGCAATATGACTGAACTCCCGCCAACTAGGGATGCCAGAAACTGACCATGATCAAATTCGAAAATCGGACAGCCCTGGCGAATATTAATCGATTATTCGCCGCAACAATTTCCGATTATGGAGACTGTAACGAATATTCGAAAAATCGAATAATCGCTGGCATCCCTCCCGCCAACCATTACCCTCCCTTCCACTCTGCACACATCAAGTGCTGATGCATGTCTTTGGAAATGATTGCTGGATAAGTAACAGATGGAAACATGGGTCCCTCACCACCTGCGTCGGTGACTTCAGAGACATTCCTAAGACATCATCTAATTAAATCCAGTTAATGACAAACCAACTTTCTGACTCACCTCCGTTGTTTATTAATGACTCACACACTGAATGCATCAGCTGATAACCTCCTCTCCAGTCACATCATTACAGATTCATCTTTATTGTCTTCATTGTCAGTTTCCACATGCCTAAAACAACCTCAAGTAAATCTAAAAGTTGATGGCTACACAAGAGCGTTGAGAAATTGTGCAAGGCATAATCCAAATAGTCGATTAATCGTTTGATTAATCGATAGATTAATCGATTATCAAATTAGTCGTTTGTTGCAGCCCTATTAAATACTGGTTTTACAGTTCAGTGTACGATAATTTAGCAACTTATTGCTTTACTGCTGTTGAATAAACCCTATATTGCTAGTGATTCTATTAAAACTATGATTTGCAATCTTTTTGATTCCAATTACAATAATCTTTTTGTTATAATTGTAAAACACATCTTGACATCCATCAGCAATCAATACAACGTATAATCCAACACAAAATAGAAGAAATCTGGACCTATTCCATTTATTTTTATACAACAGCATCTATTGGGACTGCATTGATGTCATCAAGAGCCATGAGGCGCTTTCACACCGGAGTACTTTTCCCAGGAATAGTTCCGATAGTTCCTGGGATTTTGCGTTCACATCAAAAAGATCTGGAACTCGAACTTTTTTCCGGGAACCTTTTCACCCCTTTTCAGTCCCCGCTAGAGAGGTGGTACTTTCCTGGGGAGGAAAAGGTTCCAATTTCTGATTGGCTGGGCGAATTGCAAACCACGGCCCTAAAACTCCGAACATTTTTGTGAGGCCGCCATTTTATTTGCTGGCATTAGCATTATTAGCATTAGCCCAGCGCACCAACGGAGAGAGACTAACTTATGGCAACACAAAAAAAAACATGGGGGCGGTGGAGATGAGGAGGTGTCGGCGTTCTGGAGATTTACTCGGAAGCCAGCCCCCAACTCCGGGGACTTCCGGCCGGGGACTTCGGGTGGCAGTATACGCCCTGAAGTTGTTTGCGGCCTGCCAGTAAACCCAAAGCAGAAGAAGAAGAAGTGACGCCAGCGGCTTCATTTGCCTAATCGTCCCTCAGGGACTTATTCCGGTGTGAACGCGATCTGCTCTTTAGTTCATCAGAACTAAAGAGTTCTGATGAACTAAGTACTGGGAACTAAGTATGGCAAAGTACTTGGTGTGAAAGCGCCTATTGACTTCAATACATAATTTTTCCGAAGTAAGGTCCCATGGATGTCCACCGGAAAGGGAGGGACTTTGCCTCTCTAAATAGTGCTTCCGGGCCAGCGGGCCATTTATAATGTCTAGCCCTGCAATGTTTTTATTTTGGTAGATACCAGAATACATGACACAATGAATATTTGTAATATATTTCTGTTCTCTGGTTTAAATAATCATACCAGTATAATGTATGCTGGTCACCTGGAATCCTAGTAAGCTTCCAGCATGGTACATTTAATACTATTATTACAAATAAGCTGGTGATAGATGGATGCTGGTGACCAGCCCAGCATACCAGCATACCAGCATACTATGCTGATTTTTTTAGCTGGCCAGGATGGTTGGTTTAGCTGGTGCACCAACTAAACCAGCTAACCAGCTAAACCAGCCAACCATTCCAGCCTAATGTCTACTGGCTGGTCAGGCTGGTTGACCAGGTTGACCAGCTTGACCAGCTAAGTTGGTCTAAGCTGTTTTTTTCAGCAGGGACTGGTATTATTTCTAAAATTAGTTTGTCTTGTTAAGCCCCATGCTCCCACCCGCGGGGAAAAAACGCAACATCTTGCAAGAAACAACGTCTGAGGGCTTCTTAACATTTAACAAACTATGAATGTGTCATATCCACTTAACGGGAAGAAACTCAGCTAACTGACGATATGCACAATTTTTAGCCAAGCAAAACACAACTCTAACGCCGAGCCTCTGAATTAGCGTTGAGCACTTAGCACAGAACTCACGGTAGAAACACTCCACCACTTATCGGATCTGCACAAACAAAACATCAGCTAGCAAGCTGAGATTCCAGAACTATTAGTATCATCACTGAGCGACCAGAGCTCGCCAAACCAGAAAACACACAACGTAGCTTTACGGCGCAAACACGCTAACAGTCTTACTTTTGCTGTTGTTCTGATCAAAAGTTGTGTTCAATGGCATCAAAACGATAAAAACGCAGCTGAAGGTTAATCCAATGGTTAATCCAATCTGTCTGTGTCACTTTGAAATGATCACTGATAATCCATCTTCATATTTACAAGTTTGAGCCTAGGTTTCAGGTTTCAGTTTTCAGAGCGTAACATAGCTTTCGACTGCTTGCGCATCACTGACTCCTCAATGGTAACGTGTGTGTGTATCTGGAACTTCCCCCTCGATTCTATTGGCTCTAACGGTTCAAAAGAGATGTTAATCACCAAAATCGACCAATGGGTTCCAGAGAACCCAAATGTGTTTTTTTTTGGTGCTAAATCTCTCTAAAAAGGTCCAATGTCACTTGTTTTGCATCAATCTTGATACAGGGTATACTTATATGTTATAGTTTGGATTCCTAAAGCTTTTCGTCTACCATCCCATCATCCAAGGGTGGTTTTCACTATAAGTAATGTGTTTTTGGACGGACACTATAATTTAAATTGTTTTACTATGTTCAATCTGAATTTACTTTAAAATAAAAACAATTCTATATTGATTCTGACTTTTCTACAGCCAACTCAAAGGCTTATATTTGCTTTGAGAAAAAACATTATTAATTTACCCCTTTTAGAAGTGAAGTTATGGTCATTTGTTCTGGGAATGTTATTTTCGAGCCTGAGGCCTGAAAAACAGGCTCGGGGCTTAACAGGTTAAAAAAAGAAGAAGATATTTATCATCTACGTCATGAAACACTGTGAACATTAGTATTATTCCTTATTCCAAAGAAAGCGTGTTGTTGCAAACCACAGAATTCTTAATAAAAATACAAAATGCAAATGTTGAACCATGAATATGACATTATGCAAAACGTTCACAAACAAGCAGAAGCACACACCGAGAATAACCGCACGTTCATTTTATGAGCAGCTTCTCCACGTCTGTCATTCACTTCAGAGACCTAACCTAATTAAATCCAGCAAATTACAAACCAACTTTCTGACTTCAGTAGTTCATTAATGACTCACTCACACTGAATCAGTTAGCTGATGACCTCCTCCTCATCCAAATAATTTAATCACATGTATTTAATGACGTATTGTCTACTCACATACTAATTATCAAGTGCCTTGCTGTGTATACTAGTTTTAGATATTCTGTCAATGCTGTGTGTGGGAAGGTGAATGACTGCACTGACTGCACCCATAGGAAGGAGTTGGTGATGCAATTTGATTTGTAAGACACCATGCTGAGTAAGAGCGTTCAAGGCTTAGCGTCACACACACATCACTTCAGTCAGCCCCTATGAAATGGAAATGATGCATCCACAGTGTGCAGTGACAGAAGGATTCAACGCAGTATGCACACAGCTTTTTGACTGCACATACAGTCAAAAAGCTTCAAAGACAAACTAGGGCAAATGTCAGGCATATTGATGTTTACTTTGAGTGAAGGAACATGGACGAACTGTGCTCGGCTCTCTGTTTTAGTCTCACTGTAACATCACCGAAACACCACTGAGAACACACAGTTTATTCTGCATAAAAAGCCTGTTTCAATTGAAATGCCAAAAAACTGTTAAACCTGTTTAATTCATCATGCATTCGCTTCACTACTGCCCCAAAATGTCCTGTATTACTAAGACAGGATACAGACAGGGTGTGGAGGTTAAACATTGCTTCACAGCTACGATACATCTTTTAAAGT